CCAACCCTCACCAACAGCTCAGAGAGGAGGGAAATGTTCCTTTCATGATTACTGCAGAGTATTCCCCAGACAAACACATTGCCTTACCTCAAACATTATTTAAGCATTTAGCTACTTGCATCCTTTGTCTGTGGAAGATTGACTTTTCCTTTGTTTAGATGAATTAAATGACTTCTGCTCTTCCTGCTGCCCTGCAACTCCTCACAAGCAAACAATGATGTTTCTGAAGAGCTTATATTTTCTGTTGGTTTCACCTGAATAAATTCTGAAGTTTGAAGCTTCTCTTGCTTCCATCAAATCTGACCTGAGAGACAAGTGGCAAGAGAGGCTGAGGAGAATGTAGGGAAAATAAGCTTAATTAAATTAACTTAGAAATACCAAGCATCATTATCAGAAGGTGAGATTTATTTTTTTCTAAAGTTCAGGATAAAGAGAATGGAGGAAGTAAAGGAAGAGATAAAGGCTTTTGGTATTGAACAAAGTGGCCATCAAGAGGCCCAACTAAATTTTCATTATACCTTGATAGTAACTATAAAAGGAAAGGAAATTCGCCATCCCAGAATAATAAGGAAAAACACTCAATTTGAATTGTCCATAAATACCCTGTGCTTGGAGGCTTTGCACTTCTTAACATTTAAATGGCAGTTTAAAAAGAAAATAAAGACAAGAAGGAGAAGGGAAGATGTACCCTTAGGGAAAAAAAGCAGGAAAACAAAGATCTTTGTATCTATTCGACTCCATGTAAGCATTTGCCCTATCAAGAACTAATTAGAAGTGGAAAAAGAAGCATTGGGGTGCCTGCAAACGGTGGTTTGTTACAAGCAGCATTTTTTACAGTGAGATTTGACTACATTGCAGTCTGACAAGCACAAACCTAATCCACCACCTTGGTGCTGCACAGGCTGCTGCTTCCAACAGGGTTCAGACATCTCTGCTCACTCAAACCAGCGCCACTCGAGAGCTCCCGCTGCGATCAGGGGAGGGTGCACAAAGCTTTGTACAAAAACTCCACCAGGAGCACAAAGCTTTGTACAAAAACTCCACCAGGAGCACTCCTTGTTCATGAGCAACCAGCCAAACAGGCAAAGCAGACAAAGGCAGGAGGAAAAGTATCATGATCCCTGTTTCGTGTACAAGGAGCTGAGCCACAGAGAGGTGAGGGTGTGCTTAGAGCTCGTGTGCCGTGTCAGTGGTACAACCAATGTGCCTTTCTTGTTTACCTATACATGCTAGGAGGTCCTGATGCCTTTGTGATTCCCAGGGTTAACTGCACAGGCTCCCAGGATTGTATTTGTTCAGATTTAACAGCAAGCAGCAATCCCAGTGCCCCCACGCTCCCATGATTGCCACAACACCAGTGATTGTTAGAAAGGACCTAATTCAAAACTGAAACACACGAGTGATATCTAAACAAATATACAAACCTTTCTACTCAGAGCAGAAATGAATCCTTAAGCTGATCTCAAACTCTGTCCATCTTAACATTCTCTCTGAAAGACAGTTCTTGCACCCTGCTGCTCTGATGGGGAGTGCAACTGAGCTGTTCTGGGATGTGCTGAGCAGATTTTCCAGCATTGTCACCCACCAGGGGATCGCATTTTCCCAGTCTAAGCATCCCTTGGGGAACATCACAGAGTGGGGCAGGATCCATTTGTGAGTTTCAGAACATTTCTGCATCACAGGTCACACACACATACAGATCTGCATCTTGTCTATGAACTCTGATGCTGCCTCCAGAGACACACCCTGGTACAAAGCAGCTTAAGGGCAGCTTCGATTTTAATGCATGAGAATGTCCTGCTCAATCTGCTTGAAGGAAAAAGCAGGTTGAGCCTCTCCGCTCTCATGTAAGGACACAAGGTGTTACTTGACCCTTGCAGGATGCCCCTCTATAAATCAGGCTCTAGTTGACATGTTGTGTGGTGCAAACAGGCTCTTCAGCCATGTCTTGAAATGGGGCCAAAGTCATCAGACTTAAAAGGCATGAAAAGCATTTCCCCTGTAGTAGATTTATTCTTGATACATCTCCTCACAACCTTCCATTTCATTATATTTGCACCGAGCAGTTCTCCCTCAAAAGTCTCAGCTGCAGAACCCATGTAAGGAAACAAATCTGTCACTGGAGTCATCTATGATGATGCTTGCAGCTAATTCCTTCCTCACTATATCCCTCACGCTGTTCAAGGACAGTAAAATAGCTGTACAATAGAGGTACATTTCCCACCAGGGAAAGAAAGACAAGCCTTGCATGAAGTTCAGCCCAGGATACATGAACCCCTCCTTCCAGTCTCTAACCACATCACAAGCTTCACATAACTGGGAATACCCAGAAGAGCTGATAGGTAATGATCAGTCTCACCTTTCTTGCAATTACTGGAGGAGTCAGGGGCTCTTATCAAACTCAGCTATACCTTATCACTTCCTCACTGCCTCCCTCTTGCTTCTGACATCCTCTGCTGGAGGTGTTTCACTGTCAGCTTCTCCAAGCCAGATACTTCACAGACCTAATAGGAGCAGACAAACAACGTCTCTTTCTGAATGATTAGCTGATAATCACAGACGTTGTCTTTGCCAAGTTTTTTGAATAGAGAAGCCCAGTTCAGCCTCCCTTCACCCCAGCATCTTGCTGCCAAAGCCCACAAATCACATCAATGTTAGGGACAGGTGAAAAACAAAATCCAGCTCATATTGTCTGCCATCAAAAAGCTGCTAAATAATGCAAAGAAATGAAAACAATTTGGTTTGGATGATTGATTATAGGGAAATTGCTCATACCTCCAAGACGTGGCACTTCCAATCACATCTTTGTTTCATTTGTCAGCAAGGAAATTAAGTTCCTCTCCTGGCACAGGGCCTGTGCTGTCCTGTTAGCTGCCTTTGGCACGCTGCATCATCGCTTTGTAGCAGTTTCTTGCCCTGCTTTGACATCTCACCTTGCCCCACCTAAGGTGCCAAACTGTGACCCTCTGGGACATGAGGTTTTCCTCCAGTTTATCAGACTATGGTGGCTCAGCTCTTGGCTGGGGCAGTTCTTCCAGCTGCTCACATTAACCCCAAATGGCACTGACCCAATCAGCACAAAGTGCAGCCTCAGAAATGTCAAGAGGACTCCCAGCAACCAAGGATTTGAAGCTCTCTCCGAGGTCTTCCCAAACGTGGAATTCCCTCCTTCACCTTAATGCAATTATGTAGTTTTAAACAGAGACTTGACCTTCAGATCTTGAAAGGAATGCCAGTAACCACCTCACATGAAAAAGCAGAGGGATGAAAGAAGCACATTTATGTCAATAAAGAGTAAAAAACAGTCCCAATGGCACAAAAAATACTTCTCTTCCTCTCAGTTCCTAAAATCTAGCTACAAAAGGGATCTCCTAGTCCTGCGCCGTGCTATGACAGGCAGTAGTTCTCTATATCCTTTGAATTAATTTAGCAAGCTCTATTTTAAAAACAAGTTCTGATTTTTGCCTCTAGCATTCCCATTATGAAAGGCTGTTTCAGAACATTGCTGCTCTGACAGTTTGAAACTTTCTTTCAATTTCCTGCCTAATTTATGCCTGGCCAGTTTTACACTCATGTTGTTACAGCCGTGCTGTTCTTTGGTGTAAAGAGTTCCTTCTCCTCCTGATGTTTGCTCCACAATGATATATGAACAGAGCTGTCACATAAGGCACGTTCAGCCTACTTTTACCACTAAAAGATGAAGACTTTATCTATTTATAGATGGGGTTTTAACTCCATGAGGAAACGTCTGTGTTTTTATGTTGTGCTTAATTATAGATACATATGGCAGAAAGGCATTCTGTGGGATCATCAGAGGCAGGATCAAATATATTTAAATAACTTAAATAATAGTTGTTTGTCAAATATACCTAAATAACAGTTGTTTGTCTAGTCCATTCCTAAAACTCACTGGGAGAGAAGATGCCACATCTTTCCTAGACAGCCTGTTTTAGTGTTTTACCCCTCTAGGGATTAGAAGGGTTTTCCTAATAAACATCTTCAATCTTCACCATGAATTGAATCACTTTCTTTTTCTTACACCAGTGACCATGGAAAATGACTCATCATCAGCCTTTTTATAAGTACTCCTCCTGTGAGGAAGACTGACTGCATCCCATTTCCATTGTTTCTCTCAAAATGAACTAATGCAGTGCCTTCAATCTTTGTCCGCAGGACTTGTTTGCCTGACCTCTTATCATTCACTTGATTTGTTGTGAGGCTTTTCTTCACCCTGGGCTCTCCAAATTCCTTAATGGGTGTAGATAAAGTTCCACATCAGTTCTGGACACCCAGACATGACTGAAGCCCTGTCAGCCCCAAGCAGGTTGTAATCATTGCCTTCACGAGTCTGGCAGAGTGCACTCTTGTTAATACAATCTTGGATACAATGAGGTGTTTTGCAGCAGCCTTGCAGGGTTGATTCACATTCTATTTGTGAACCAGAGCAACCCTGGCCCTCTCCAGATGCCTCATTGTGTATTCCCTGTTTTGTGTTTGTGTATTCTGCTTTGCCTGCCCCAGAGGAGTGCTTTGCACTTGTCTTAATTTCATCTCTTTTGCTTTCAGGCAGGATCTCTCATTTGTAAGGAGTGTTGTAAGGGCTGAGCCTCCCTCTCAGGGTGCTGTATTTACCTGGCACGATGACAGGCAGTGTTTGAGACCCCTGAGCGAGGCACCCTGTCCTTCCAGCACAGCTCAGCCAGGATATGGATACAATCTCCACAACTAGTTACATTGCTCCTCCAAACATTACTAATTATTAATTATAATTAATTACTAATTACTAATTATTACTAATATTCAGAAAACTTTTCTTGTTTCTGATTTTTAGATATTATTTCCCCCAGAACAGCTCATGTACCTTCCCTTCCCCTTCTACATCATACCTTCTGCACAACAAACACCATTCCATGAGATCCACCTTTCAGATCTCTTCTCCCATCACCTGAGCCTTCCCACCTGCCACACGACACTGTCCCTTACTCCATGGCCCTACTCACCCTTGCCAGCACCCAAAATCAGCCACAGCCTTGAGGTGGGAGCTCCACTTTCCCCAAAGCAGCTGCGTGACACTTTTCAGAGCTGGAATACACCAATGCACACTTTAACACAGGTTTCCTCTAAAAACAGATTAAATCAGGGGTGAGAGAACAAACTTACATTCCAGTGATTGTGTCCCCACAGCATAAGGTATTCTTCTGCTCTGCTTCCTAGGAGCCTTCAGTACCTCTCTGCACCCAAGTGTCTTCCTTCCCACATCCAGTAAGGTTGGCCAAGGCATTTAAAAGCTCCCAGGAGTCCTGTCTACACTGCCCTGGGCTGAGTATGTTCCATAGCGTGGTCTCCAAAAAACATCCCTGTTTTTTGGAGCAGAGAGAGCTCCAAGAGCCCCAGGGCCCAGCCAATGCCTTGTCACAGAAAAAAAAAACCTCTGCATGATCCCAGTGGCCAGGGAACAAGTAAAGTAAATGCTGTCACCATCCACCCACTTATGTTTGCTTTGGCATAAACCCAGTTCTCCCTTCCCTACCACCTCCCAGCTCGATTTTATCAGGAAGGACAGAGGCCTTTAAAGTTGGTAAGTTGTGAAGAGCAAAACTTCCTAAATACCATTTCCCTGAAGGACATGGCACTGTCCTGGCATGCTTTCACCCGAGGATTTTTAAGTGGCACTGCACTGGGGGGTAATCCAGCCTGTGAATGAGGCATGGAGAGACTGCCTCAAGTCATTTATTTTGGAGGCATGATACCAGCAGAAAGCTGATGAGGGCCCAGCTTACAAGGCCCTTACTCAGAGCCAGAACAAGTGTGGCATCAGGTTTAGGGTGGAACATAGTACAGGTTGGGACTAGGCTTGTTAGATCCCTTGGGAGTAGCTGTGTGTGCTCAGGAATTGGGGGAGATAGAGGCTGGGTAATTGCATCCTTTCACGTCTTGGAGAGCCCTTCTCCACCCAATGAGCACCACTGTCCTTCCCTGGAGGCTGTCAGAGGCTTATCAATGAAATGACAAAAGAAAAAATAAAACCCTAGTGCAGCTGGGTGCTGGTGCTTGTGTGCCTGTAATAAGAGAGAGTGAGCACTGTATCAGCAGGAGCGCTGGGCTAAATGGAGCAAAATGAAATCAGGTAGAGCTGCTGCTCCTCGTAAGAGTGATCCTTCAGGATTTGGCTGGAAAGCTGTTCCAAACTGCTGCCATGGATAGAATGCTGATTCCAAGCCCAGCTCTCACCCATTGACATTTTCCAAGTGGCATTTTCTTGTGCTTGCTCAAGCATGGAGGGAGCCTTCCCCCTTTGCCTGCTGCTGCCTGCTCTCACTCTCACGTCTGCTCCCCATTCACAAACCTAGGGCAGGATCTTTCCTGCTTGCCAGAGGTGTGAAGCCAATGTAAATTACTTTCCTTTTTGCATTGAGGGAAAGTCTTATTATCAACCTGTCAGATCCAGACAGTTGCCAAGATGCTTTATAAGAAGAATTAAATCAAGCTCAATCTCAACAGATGGATTCTTGTCCCTTTTTGGGGGCCCCATGCAGGACTCTGGCCTTTGCCAGCAGTGCACATCAGCAGTGTGTTTTTTATTTTTTCTCTCTCAGCTGAGCTTTATCAGTCAAAGCCAAGCATGTGGGGGAGAGTGCAGCAGCATAAAACAGTGCACTATCATCAAAGAGTAGGTCATAAGAAAATTGTTTCCCAGGCTTTTAGCCAGGGACATATCACAATGAGCTGACAGAGGAATTACTTGGTTTCATCCTTGAAATGCAGCCCTCACCATTATTAGAAATTGATGGTCAGTAGGGACCAGCACAGCCCCCAGAGCAGTGGCATGCCAGAAGGGAAGACTGTACCCTTCACAGATAAAATAAATTAAGTGGGATTTTTGCAAAACAGAATAGGATTATCTGTTTGTAATCCAGCCAAGACAGAAACACAGCCTCTATCCGGCTTGGTAGGTTCCCTCCATGGGTCATGAACTCTGGGTCACCGTGGAAATGGCAGCCCTGGCACTGCTGTGGCAGAAGCCAGGTAAGCTATAACTTGTTCTGGGGGAGGCTCATTGTCACAGTTGACTTTCCCAGCAGAGAGTATCAATATTTTTCTTGTGTCCTGAGGCTTGATGAGTTCCCAAGTCACAGCTATGAGGATAGCATTCAAATCCATGTGAAATTCAGCAGCCTCCAGGCTCCATGCATTTTGACTTTCTCCATAGGGGTGGAAAAATATGTTTAAAGCCCACAAATAAAATTAATAGCTCCTCAGATCCCTTCTCATCTGCTCTCCCATCTCCAAGCCTCTACAACTTGCATGCTACCACAAACTGGCTGTGTTGGAGACTTGATTTAGTACAGTGACAAAGCACCTGTCTCTCTGAGGCTGGAGTCCTCCAGATATGGCATCCCTGGATGACATGGATGCATGGTAAAGGTCTGACTTCAGACCAGAAAATCCACTTCATGCCACCATTCCTCCTTTCACTGCTTCTGCAATCATCCCTGGTCACCTCTGCATTTCCCCTTCCCAAGGGGGAACAGCCTTCTGTCTCCTTGGTGTGAAAACCTTTGAGACAAGAGAAGTTGCAGAAACAAAAATAATACAGAAATAAAAGGTTTTTTTTCTCTAAAAACACCCAAATGACCATTTATAGCCAACTTATTTGAATACCTTATGCTCACTGCCTTTGCTGGTTGCTGCTCCATGGGGGAAAATTCTGTTAAATTCAGAAATGATGAAGGCAGTGGAAATTAGAAGGTAGCAAGAGTCCTTCCTTCTCTCATCATTCCATCCCATTCCTACAGCCCAGAATCTGGGATATGGCTATGCACTGTCCCAGCTGCATGCAACAGCTCTGGTGCCAGCCACAGACACTCACACTCCCAAGCAAACGTGCTCCTGGGCCACGCTGATGAATTGTCTCATGCAGAACTGACACATTTTAAGATCTAATTATGATGACAAAGCTCTAAACAGTGTGGAGCAGACTCTCAGCCTTTGCTCATCAGTGCCCAACTGCTCCCACTGATTCCTTCTCTCGGAGCAGCAGTTTGTTAGCTGCAGGAACCGTCTGTTGTTTTCAGCCTGGGAACTAACAAACTCAAAGACATTCAACCCAGGATTTGATTTCTGCCTGCCAGAAGCTCAGATTTGATGCCCAGACCAGAGCCCATGATATTATGGATATTTGGGTTCCAGTCCCTTGTGAGCCAGTTAGTTCATGGCCTGGAAGGTTACAATTCTGCCAGGGATGAGTGGCTTTTCAAATGGGATCAGGTAACTGTATGGAGACAAAAACAATCCCACATTCCTTTATTTTGCTTTATACATAAATAGCCACTGTTCCATAAACCCTGCTGCCAGGACAGCCTGCAGCAGTGCTCTCAGAAGGAAGCATACTCAGTTTGTCCTTTAGCAGGGGTGCCAAAGCATCTTGGATTCCTCCAGAGCTGCCGTTTCCCTTGAGCTGGCAGGATTAGGACGGTCTTGAAAAAGCAACTGTTCATCTATAGCGTTTATAGGCCAAGTATAATAGGAAGTGTCCCCTTGCCAGGGTGTTCTAAGGAGTCTGCAAGACATCAGCCTCCATCCAGGCTGGCTGGAAGCTTCTCCAAAATCAGCCCACACACCTTGGCAGAACAGCCTGCCACTAATCCCCAGGAAACAACCACCTTTGAGACCTAAAAATAGATGTTATTTTTAAAAGCGGCAAATTAATAACCCCTAAATTCCTTCATATTAAAACAATTAAGTCTCTGCTTTACAGCTTCCCTCAAATTGGCTTTTCCCTTTCATTTATCTGTTCCCACACACCTCAGTTCTGGCAGAGACTGGTACATCCAGACAGTGCCTGAAAGTCAGGTGAAACCACAGATGGAGGAACACAAAGGTTGTGTGCAGAAACTTTGTGCCACCAGTTTGTTGCTCACAGATGAGCAATCCCAGCTAGAACAAAAGCATTCAGCATAACCAAGGAATAAATTGTTGGGTATTTCAGCACATCACATTCATGTCTCTTCCCCTTGTTAAATCTGTCTTTTTCCCATGGTCATGGGTAGCACTGAGGTCTTTGCAGAAGTTTTTAACACAGCAGAATTTCATGCACTGAAACTCTGGAGAGGAAAGGCACAAATAAGCATAAAATTGTTCTCATGACAACACACTAATATTGCCTGGCAATATGGTTTTTTTTTGGTTTTTTTCCACAGAAACCTTGTCCATTAAGTACTTCTCATACTTTTAGCAGAAGCATTCCTGTTTTTAGGAGCGTGAGACCAATTTACTTCCTCTACTACTTTCAGTTTAGCTTTGTAGTATGGGAAAGTATTGGGACTTAAAAGTCAAAGATGTTTCCAATGAAATCAATGTGTTTGCCCCAGTGAGAAACCATCTTGGATCAACTCACAACCAATCTACTAATCATCACAAAAAGAACATTTTGGTGCGAAGCATCTCCATTAGGGTCATACTAGCTTTCACTTAAATGAAGTGATTTCATGAGAATCTACATCTGGGCTTCCCATCCAGCTGCAGGAATACCAATCAAAGCTTTGGGAGTTTATAATTTCATTGTAAAGTGTCACTTTAGCTATTATGCATCTTCCCTTACCTTGTGGTGTTTTGAGGCCCTCCAGTCCCCAAGATGTCAGGTAGAACATCCTTATACTTGGCTGACATTTCTGAATTTGGTTGGAGATTAAAGGCCAGGGGTAAAAAAAAAAAGAAAAAAAAAAAGAAGAGAAAATAATTTCTTCTTTGAAATTCAGCCCTGGTACAATTACAGCCTGAGGTAAAAGCTCAGGTTAGTTTTATTTTATCTCAATGGCTTATTTCTTCTTTCAGCTGCCCTCCTGTCCTTGCACCTGTTTTATAGATATATAGAAATCAAGAAGGCCTTGAATCTGCAGTCCCTCATTAAACAAGACTGAGAGGCCGTTCAGACCAAACACAGATGTCTCTTTATTTAAAAGCATCCATGTACAGTGGGGCCCAGAGACTTCAATCAGCACCATGACACTGCAATAAAGACCATAAATTAAAGAATATTTTTGAACCTGGCCTCGGTTCCCTATGATAAAAAAGCATAAGTTTAAAAAGGTGAAGAAACACTCAGTGCACTCAGTTGCTATCACCAGGCAATCCCTCTAGCTCAGCAGTCTTGGGTTTTATCACACACACACAGCCCTCACAAGATAGCAATCAATTAAACATTTTTGCTAAAGCATTGAGTCAGAATGGGAACATCTGGAGTTGTGATTCAATTGTCCAGAACTTGCTGCCTGATAATTAATATTCCTTCAAATGGCTCTTCTATCAAGGTGTCCCTCTAATTTCCAGCCATTCCCCTGTGGCTTGGAAACACAACTGAGTTATTGCTCATCCCCCAGCCCAAGACTTTTATAGGAACAGGGGAAAGAGATGAGATGGAAGACTTAT